GAGAAGCACCGTTTCACTGGGCTCTAAGCATCTCGGGAACACTGAAACTATTAAGTAAACACTGAAACATAAAGTATTTTCTTTAAAGTCACACCTGTTAATATCAGCCCTGCTCCCATCAAAAGTCTTTAAGAATTGGAGCTGTCCAATTCTTACATCAGTGGCAGATGTAAGCTTTCCCAAATTAAAAACAGTGCTTTCAAGGGAGAACTAGGCCACTGGCAACAAATGCTTCTAGTGGTTTTCCTGAAGCACACGAAAACGCTGGATTCTTCTGTAGCTCACGAGAGTGACAACTGGGTGTTCACGCTCTTGTGTGAATGTGCCTCCCTCAACCCTTGTTATAGTGTCAGCATGTTATCCATCTGACATTAAAAAAATGTGCCAAAACCCAAGTCTGAGAAACCACAGCCTGGGTGTCCCAGGAGGAAAGAGGCCAGTCCAGCCTGCAACTCAGACAACTGCAGGCATTTCCCCGAGAACCTAGCGCTGCAGTGCCCAGCAGAGTGCTCTCAGCACACTCCCCGCTCCGTCGCACAGAATGCTAAGACACCCCACCCTCATGCACAGTTTCTACCACTTCATCAGGGCCACTCTTGAACGGCCTTTCCGCCCCCCGCAAGCAGGTGGCAATTGAGACCGCAATGGCTGCTGGTACACTCTGGTGCCGCTGCCTTGGACCACGCTAAGGTGCCAGCTTCTGCTTTCGCACCATTAGCACAAACGTCAACAGCGAAAAAGGCTGAGAATGTCTTATTGGAAAAATAGGTCTGACTCCAAGGACCCTCTTGAGAACCGCTGCCCTGACAAGCATTCATGGCGCCAGCAGCTCAGCGAAGCCGCCGCTCCTCCACGAAGCCCACAGCCAGCCAGTCGCTGCTGGCTCGCATGCTGCGGAAACTCACTCATACACAGGCCAAATTCCTCAGAACACGACTCTCAACTTCCCTCAGAAACACAGGAGAGGACAGAGGAGCAGGAGCAGGAGCAGGAACAGTGAATTAAGCGCACGGCGCACATCCCCAGCCAGCGCCCTAGGGTGATGACACTGGAGAGAGGAACGGACAGGGATGCAGGCTCCAGGGCAGCATCACCAGGAAACCTCGGCGGGCAGAGGGGGCCCGCAGCCAGGAGAGCCTGCGCGACACTCCATCCCGCCTCCTCCCGGGGGACACAGCACAGCAGCGACTCCAATGACAGGGCAGGACAGAGGCCGGCAGGTGACAAGAGAGGCAGATACACTCCAAGGACAGTGGGCCGCTTCATCCTTAACGTTTCCCTCAGGTTCAGTGAAAAGGAGTCCACACACAGAGAAGGAAACAGAGCCCCCCACCCCCCACCCCCCCACGCTGGTGCAGCCCGGACGCAGGAAGAACAGCTACACGTGGCACCTCCCCCACACGCACTTGGTCGGCCTGGATGGCACTTACACCGAGCCTCAGGCCCAGTTAGTGTCACTGTCACACAATGACAGTGAATGACGAGCCCAAGAACAGGTTCCATGCAGCCACTGCTTCCGATCCAGGAGGAGACATCACTGCCTCTGGCCTTCACTCTCAGTGGCTTCTGGGACAGGCTGGACCTGTGAGGGCTGATCTGAGGGCACAGGGGGCGACCACAATTCCCAGATCCAGCAGCTGCCAGCCATGGGCTCAGCAGCCTTCCCGCACTGCCTGCTTGTCCCCATGGACGAACAAGGCACAGCCGCTCTGCAGTCTGTCTCACCAAGGCCGGGAGGAGGGTGGGGACGGGGGCAGGTGCCGGTCCTGTGAGTTCTCTGCAGGGCAGACTTCAGCCTCAGGAACAGGCTGCCCTGACTCTGGAAGTGCCAAGAGCATAAGCATTTTTCAAAGGATGGACTGAAATATGCATTTGCAGATCAGCTTAAATGCAACTGGCCTAAATCAACTCAGTGCAAGAGCATGAATGAAGAAGACACCCTGGGGT